TCTCTCAGACATCCGTGAGGGGAAAGGGTCCCAGACAGAGGGATTGCACAGAGAACTGCAATGGACAGGAGAGGGGACACACAGGGGGTCTGGTGGCTGGAGAGAGGCCCCTGGGAAGCCCCAGCAGGCTGCTGGGAGGTTGGTTCTGCAGGTGGTGCTGGAAAAATAGGTCCTCTCCAGAGTGGCAGAGACTGAGAGGGTCAGCCAAGAGAGAGAGATGATTCCTTGTATGCTAAGAATCTTTACTATGTGTACAGCTGATTTCTCTTCAGAAACCATGGCGGGGGTAGAAGGGTGGAGGAGAGTACTCTTTAAATGTCAAAAGAAAAAAATCCAGGTGTGGTAGCTCATGCCTGTGATCCCACAGATGCACAGGCAAGGGGAGTGGAAATTTGAGGCCAGCCTACACTGCATAGTGAGTTCAAGGCCAGCTTGAGCAACATAGCATGACTCTGTGTTTTTGTTTTTTGTTTTTTGTTTTTTTTTTTTAAAAGCAAGCCAAGAGGTGGTGGGGCACATGCCTTTAATTCCAACCCTCAGGAGGCAGGGACAGGCAGATTTCTGTGGGTTCAAGGCCAGCCTGGTCTACAAAGTGAGTTCCAGGACAGCCAGAGCTGTTGCACAGAGAAACTCTCTCAAAAAGCCAAAAAAACAAAAGGGGAAGAGAGAAGCTACGACCGAGAATCCCATGCCTAGCGTCACGCCAAGGGGACACTGAGGGCTGGAGAGGTGGCTCAGTGGTTAGGAGAGGATGCTACTCTTCCTGAGGAGCTGAGTTCAATCCCTAGCACCCTCAAAGTGATTCACAAGCACCTGTATCTGCAGCTCCATGGCTTCAGCACCAGGCATGCATGTGGTACATGTACATAATGCAGGCAAAACACTCACAAACATAAAACACAATAAGTGAATCTGAAAAATTAAAAAACATTACATAGGTAATGATAATAGCCAGCACTGAACTTTGGGTATGTAATTCTCCTTTTTTCTCCAGTGTGATTAGAAATACATAAAGTAGTGATAAATCTATGTTAATATGTTTGACCCACAGTATGTAAAGATGTAAGCTGTAAAAACAGAAAAGGGGTGGAGCTATAGAGGTGCATGTCTCATACACTGTTGAAGTTAATTTGGTCTTTATTTTTTATTTATTTATTTATTTTTTTGGTTTTTCGAGACAGGGTTTCTCTGTGTAGCTTTGCGCCTTTCCTGGAACTCACTTGGTAGTCCAGGCTGGCCTCGAACTCACAGAGATCCGCCTGTCTCTGCCTCCCGAGTGCTGGGATTAAAGGCGTGAGCCACCACCGCCCGGCTAATTTGGTCTTTATATTGTTATATATTGAAGATATTAGCTGCAAGCCTAACAGGAACCATAAAGGAAAACAAATAAACCTTTAAAAGTTTCTTTAAACAAAGTTTATGTTTAAGAATTTATTTTTATTTACGTGTATGTATGTGTGTGTCTGTGTGAACATGTGCCAAGCGTATGAGTGCCCAGGTCAGACCCCTGGAGCTAGAGTTACAGGCTGTTGTGAGTTAGCTACCCGACATGGGTGCTAGGACCTGAACTCCAGTCCTCTGTGAGAGCAGCAAGCACTCTGAACTGCTCAGCCATCTCCCCAGCCCATAAAGTTTTTTTAAAAACACAAAGAAGAAGAAAAAACCTCATGAAGGGGAGATGAGAGGGAATCAAATAGTAAATTGAAAGAAAATCAATTAAACACAAAGGTGGCATAATGAAGGGGCTGGGAGAGGCCGTTACAAGACCACAGAGAACAAGCAGCTGAACGGCAGAAGGCCCTAGCGGGGGCTGGGGACGGAGCTCCACGGGCCAGTGCTGGCCTAGCGTGCACGATGGCCCAGCACTACACAAAACCAGTCATAGTGCATGCCTGCAACCACAGCCCTAGGAGGCCCAGCCAGCAGGGTTGCAAATTCCAGGTCACTCCTGGCTCCGTGAGTGAGTCAGAGGCCCACCTGGGATAAGTGAGACCAGTCCTCAGCAGTAATTACTTCAAACGTAAGTGGATTAAACGCACCAATGGAAAGGAAGAGCTTGACGGAAGGGGTAAGAACACAGCGTTCTGCCGAGGGCTGCCTGCGCGCGAGACTCGCTTTAGAGCCAAGGACTTCATGCAGACAGCATACCAGGCAAATAGTAACCAAGAGAGAGCTGGGCATCCCCATCAATATCAGGCCCAACAGATTTGAAGGCAGGAGTGGTCACAAGGGACAAAGAAGGCATTATGCTGTATTAGGTCTCAATCCAGCCACCAGCAGCCCAGAATTATCTTCAAACCTCCCTCTGTCTGCAAATCTGGGTCAAGTTCCAATGGTTTCCCCCCTGGCCTACCACAGAGCAGAGAGGAAAGTCATGTATGACTGAAGCAAAAAAAGCCTCCTCAAGGTCCTCAAAGGAACAGCACGTGCACCACAGAGGCCTGGGTTCTTGTTTCCATCCTGTCCCCGAGGGCCTGGCCACTCTGGGGACGTCTTCCAGAGACGTTGGTTAGGAGGGACTCTCGCTATAGCTGCACGCTTTCCTGATACTGACTACACCGACTCCCAGGCTTCCTCCTATCCTCCTGTCCCCCTGGGATCTGGCTGTCACACTTTTGCTTCCTTTGACACTCAGTGGGCTGGAAACCGCTCCAGGGAGGCAGGGAATGGTGTGCATCCTGGTGCTCAGCCTGGCAAGGAGGTAGGCCTCAGTGGGGCTCTGTGTGTGTGTGTGTGTGTGTGTGTGTGTGTGTGTGTGTGTTGGGGTGGGGGGAGGCAGATGAGAACTGGCTGGGAGAGGGGGCCTCAGACACTCTATGACTCCCTAGGGACCCTCTCTAACTCATAAGGCCATGAAGACAAGGGGGTACGCCCAGACTGGCCACAGGCTTTCCAGGGGCAGTCTGACTCCCCTCCCCCAGGCCCAGTACCTGTTCTTCGTCTTACCCTGTGCCTCTCCCCAGGCCTCCTCTTCTTGACAATCGTCTCCCATCAGGGTCATTCCCTATCATGTCCAGGCCTGCCCAGCTTATGTTTCAATGACCCTGTTCGAGCCTCAACTTTGCCATCTGTGAAATGAGTTCAGAGTTCTCCATCTCATAGCTTCACTGATCACTTAGGATAGTGGCCACAGGGACCACTCCTGGACAGTGGGAGCCCTTCATAAAGCAAAAGTAGTGGGGTTTTAGTAATTAGTCCACTGTCCCGCAAGTGGCCTTTGGGCCTGTCACCTTGTCAAGCCTTAGGAAGGCTAGGTGTGAAGGGAGGAAGGAAGGACACCTGAGTTGACTCTGTGGTTCAGGAAGGCTGAGGCGTAGAGGGAAAGAGAAAGGGCAGATGAATGATCTGCCATTATTTGTTCCACATGGGGACAACCTATGCATGGACAAAGAACCCTCGGATCCTTTGAGGTCTCCTGAGACTTCCTCATCCAAATAAAGTAAGAGAACAAAACGTGGAGACACAATGAAACACCATTATCAGTAGGTGTTTGGCGGCTGACCACCGTGGGAGTCTATGTCAAGCCCTGGCTGGGCATTGTATCGGCATGACATTATACTCTCAAACCTCCTGTAGGCAGGAGCTACCATCAGCCCTTTGTCACAGAAGTACAAAGTGACAGCAGCAATTAGCCTACAGCATCATAGCTGGAGAGCCACAGAGCCAGGAATCCAACTCAGCCCTTGCATCCAAACGGTGCACTCTTAGCTGCCCGTCACTCAGCACTGAACCCTACCTCACAGCGGGCTGGTGCCTGGCTGGGAACCTGAGGAGAAGGGGAGGCTGCCCCGGTTTCTAGGGCTCTACAGAGACCCAGGAAGTCAGAAGACACACGGACTCCAGGGTGACAGAGAGGAAACTCCCAAGGGATATGGAGGCTGGAGGCCTGAGAGGATGTAACCAGACAGGACAGGGAAGGCAAGGTCAGGGAAGGAGGTAGAGGGTGAGGCAGGCAGGAGCGGGCAGGTGAGGGAACAGAATCGGCAGCTCAGAGCTTACAGCCAAGGTCCTGGAACAGAAGGGACCTGCATGCTCAGCCCAAGGTCCTCACAGCATCATTGAGGTCCAGGATGGAGCCTTCAGAGCTGGGCAGCACCCAGAGCTGGTGCGTTTTGGGGGTTGAAAGAAGTCAAAGAAAGGTATGTCCCATTTAAAAGTGGGTAGAGCTGCCATTCACCCAAGGATCTGCTCCCAACAGGGCCCCTGCAAGATGAGGTAGCCAGAGGCAAACAGCATGGGGGGCGGGGGTCAGGTCAGACAGAGGCCTGCTTCAGAGGCCCCTGGGGGAACACTCCTGAGGGCCATGGGGGCTCCAGACCCTCCTTCGGGGGGTCTGTGTGAATCCCCACCCTCCAGCCCTCTTTAGCCTGGCTTTGGCGTTCTCTGCTGGGTCTTTGAACAAGCTCTCGGCCCCTGAAGATTTTCCTGGTTGACACCAATAGTTTGCCTTTAATGCAGTGGCCCCATGAGCTTTGGGGCTTCCAGCCAAGCTGCTCCATTGACCTCATAGCCTGGGACAACAGGAAACTGGTGGCTGAGCACCCCCCCCTCCCCTTAGCCCCCAGCTTCATAGGCCTGAGGTTCTATGCCAGGCCCACCTGGCCAACTGCCTACATTCCAGGCTCCCACTTAGGAGACGGAGAAGCTCGTTAGAGTCTCAGGCTGGTCACGGGGAAGGGCTGAGGGTCAAGAGACCAGAGTGGCCCTGGGGAGGAGTAGGGGGACTAGAAGGCTCAGCTGATGGACAGCACTCTTCCCTAGGGAGCTCCAGCTGGGGGCCCTGTCCCTCTGACTCACTTCTGCCCAAGGTCCTAAGCAAACTTGCTAACTGCCTCCCCAAAGACTTTCACAGCAGGGTTCTCAAGACTAGGTAGGAGTTTTCTGAGAGGAAGAACTGGGGACAGTTTCCACAGCTCAGAGAGAAGAGAGCATGGAGGGTGGAGAGGAGCTACCCAGCATGACCCTGCCTAGTTCTGAAAGAAAAGATGAGGCACACTCACCTGCTGAAGAATAACCATGGTCCTACGTCAGACAGACAGAGCACCTGCCGGAGTGACCAGATACAGCTCTGTGGGAAGAGACCACACCAAGCCCTGAGCCCCGGCGGGCAGCTCGGAGCCAGCAAGGCCACCCAGGCTCCTCCCCAGCCCCGCGCCCCTCCTCCCTGTGGTCAGAGGGACCACGGCCCAGTCTCTCAGGTGCTGTTATCACCTCCACTGCCCAGAGCTGCTAAGGCCTCTGCCGTTCTCTCAGGCTTTGTCGTCCAGACTCCCCAAGGGCTTCTAGAAAGCAGCGGATTTAGCCCCACACCAGACATACAGGCAGAGCTCAGAGGATTGCCACTTGCCCGAGGTCACACAGCAGGGCAGGGAAGATTCAGGACTAAGCCGTGGGCTCTGGCATCCCAGTTCAGGGCTGCTCCGGGAGTTACGGGTCATGTGGTAGAGTGGTTTATCACTTGTCCACGACCTTCCTCTCCTACCTCAGCCAGCACAGCATAGGCCCAGACACTGGCTCAAGGAGGATTTGCTGCCCTGGGCATGGTCACCGGAAGCAGCCCTAACCCATAGGCCCCGGTGTGAGGCCCCTCTGCCCTGCCTGGCCTGTCCCCTAGAGTGAACATTAAGTTTTCACAAGGACCCATTCAGAGGCACTGGGACATCTGATCCTTTGCCCACGACACTACCTGACACCTGAGCCTTGACCCCCAGGCCCTGGGTCTCTATGGGCACGTGGTCCTTCCAGAGGCCTACACCAGCCTGGGTACCTGGCAAGGAAATAATTGCATGGGCAGTGGGCAGCAGGCGGGAGAGCTGCCATCTGAAGAGGCCGCCTGGCTCCTGCCCCGTCCATGCTAACATTCCAAGACAGACTTGAAAGGTGCTGCAGGACAGAGTCGAAGGCCCATGCATCCGGGGAAACCACGGGGCTCTTTCACCCAGTGCCCGAGGCTCAGGACATTCTGTTTCCAAAACTGAGAACTAGACCATGTGTGAGTTTTTCAGATTCGGAGCATAGAATCATTTCTTTTTCTAGGACTATGTCTGACTTTACCTTGTCTCCTCAGCAACCCTGGCTGGTGGCCTTCATAGTCCCAGGTCACAGATGGGAAGTGTAAGGCATCAAGGCACACACAGAGAGAATAACTAACTTGTGCAAGGAAAGAAAGATTGTCCGAGAAAGACAATCAAAAGAGAGAGAAGACTAGGAGAGAAGAGCACCTGTGTCTCCTCTCCCCTTCCCTTCCCCTCCCCTCCCCCCTCCCCTCCCCTCCCCTCCCCTCCCCTCTCATGGGGATGCCCCTGGATGTCCCCGACCCAGTCCCAGCCCAGGCACAACTCCACAGGCCCTTCCTTTCCTCTTCAGCTGTTCCCTCCCCCAGGGTACAAGCCTCCATGTGCCCTGCTCAGGACATTTTCGTCCCATGGCTGTGGTGGCAAGGCCCCTGTAGGTTGAGGGAAGTCCAGTCGCAGGGACCTGAGGCTGTGGGGCAGGGGCTCCAGAAGAGACCCCAGCCTATGACTCCTCCCTGTCCCAAAGACTCAGGGCAGCAGGCATCCTTACCTGGGTCTTATCCGCACCCTTTGAGTCACCACCTCCCAGCCTGGGGTCAGGGGCCACAGGGCAGGAGGACTCTGGAAGCTGGGGCTGGAGCCTGCAAACGCTCTGCCCCAGCCTGAGTCTGGCTCCGAGGTTGCTCTGGGGTCCCCTGGGCTTTTCTGTTTCTTGCCGTCTCCCTGGGTCACTCTCTCTGTTCAGGGCAGCTGTCCAGCCGGCACCGCCACCCTCCCTCCCACTCCAGAGCCTTCTCCCGGGAGGCGGAGCCCGAGGGGGCCTCCGAGGTCTGGATGTGGTGACATCAGCACGAGGGGCGGGCTGTGCTGGGGCTGGGACTAAGGTCCAGAGGCCGCCCAAGGCGCCTTGGGAAGCACTGGCCACCCAGCAGGGATGCAAGGTGTGGAGGCCCCAGGAGGCCCTGCTGGCTGGTCCGGGGGGGGGGGCCCCCTCTGGGCCTCAGGAGCCTCTTGTTATGTCTGTCACTAGCTGCTGTCTCTGCCTGGCTGGGACGCCTGATCTGGTCCCACCTTGGTCATGATTTTGCTGGGCCTCAGTTCCCAGTGGCGTCCTCACAGCTCCTCTCCTCCATAGCATTACAAGAGACCCTCTAGATGGGCAGGCAACTCCTGGGTCCTTAGGGGACACAACACCCAAAACAGGACTCCCCAAGATGTGACCCCGTGAGGCTCTTCCACCCACCTCCACAGCTTGTTCTGGGGGGTCTTGGGTGTGTTTGCCAAGGCACCCCATCGGGAGCAACATCATACAGGACAGAGATGCATCCAATGTGAAACAAAATGTGTGATTTAAAAGGATATGAAATACTCATAATAGGTGAGGAAGGTGGGCTGGAGGACCCCCTCCTGAGACCTGGCCCTTTCACCTGCCCACTCTTGGCCAGCAGAGAAGCTGCCTACGGGCTGGGGGAAGTCTGCGGCCGTAGGAGGTTGGGGCAGGGACGCTCAATGGCCCAACAGCGCCACCTGCTGGGCACAGCCGACTGCTACAAGACCAAGGTCGAGGGAGCAACTAAAGAAATCAGCATCTGCAGGTCAGCTTCCTCAGACCCCAGGGTGCCACAGGGCAAGGTAGCACAGAGACCAAGCCTGAATGGCACCCAGTGCGGGCCTCACCCATGCAGCTGATACTTATGGGTGGGGCAAGTAGCGGGGGCCTACACAGAGTCGGAGAGACACAGGTTGGAGCACCCAGAGCTTCATTGGGGGAAGAGGTGCATGGTGGGAAGGCAGCAGTCTTGGAACCATAACTGCTGTACTTTCTCAACACCCAATCCAAGAAACCTAGGAATCCATTTTAGTCTGTTCTGTTTCCCAAAATCCAAACACCTGAGGTCCGGTGGTCTGTCAAGGATGCTCATCTTGGCTGTTTGGAGGCAGGAAACTAGTCCCAGCAGAGTGGTCACTCTCAGAGCCATCCTGCCTCTGGAGAAAGCATTCAACCCTTCCTCGCCACCTCACACTCCACCCTACCTCTCCAGGCTCTGCCTGCTTTCTGCACCATCTAGAAGGGGCATGGATTTCCAGCACCTGAGCCGTCCTAGGGTACCACATCCGAACCACTGCAGAACCGGTCTTAGTTCATACCACCCTCGCCCACCTCTCACCTCTTCAAATCCCAGCTATCATCGCATTCCATCCATTTCGCTTTCAACAGTCCTAATTCACCCTCTGCCCATGAAGTCCTGTCTCTAGCGACCTGACCTCCCCAGCATCTCTGCTCTGCTCTGGCCACTGGTCTGTGGCCTGCGCTGTCTCCTCTCTCCTGGAACAGGACAAGGGCCTGGACCTGAAGGCTGACACTTGGTCCCTAGGGGCTTCCGCGCTACACTATCAAGAACACTGCAGTGTCATGATCAGCGGATCGGTGTGTCTTCCCGGTTGCTGGAAGGCTTTTCCGGAGCAGGGACTGTGCTTCCCGGGGCCTGGGATGGGCAGGGCTCAGCAAAGCCAGTCCCACACCAATTTGCAGTAGGGAACTTGAAAGATTCCAGAGTTCACCAGGCAACCAGCAAAGCCAGCCTCATCTGGGACTTCCAAGTCCTTCCTTGTTCATCCCTCTGACCCAAGGTCAGTTACTCATTGTCCCTTCCTCCCTTACCCTCCCCCGGGGGAGGGACAGATGAAACAGACACAGAGAGATCTTTCTAGAGTGGCAGTTAATATTTATTCTGAGAAGATAACATGCCCTTGACCCCAGGGCATGGTGACCTGGAGAAGTGAAGGCCAGGTCCTGGTGGTCCATGTAGTGTGGGCTACAGGGCTGATCGCCTGCAACGGGCACACTATGAGGCCTCCCGGGTGCAAAGGGTGAACGAAGCCACTGCTCTCCCTGCTCCACACTGTCCTCACCTGTCCAGTCCTCAAGGCTTCCCAGGGACCAGAGGTCCCTGCACAGCCAGGAGCCAGCCTGGCTTCGCTTGAGAAGGAGGAAGCAAGAGCAGGGCTGCTGGCCCAGTTATGCTGGCGGTGGGAGGCAGTGGCTAATCCGGAGAAGCTTATACAAGTTGGCTACTTGGTCCTGGTTTGCCCCGCGCCTCAGGGGGGATATGGCTGAGCTAAGACGCGCATGTCAGGCCCTGAGACCCAAGATGGCCTAGCCGGTGCTTTCTCCTCCATTCCTGGCTGCAGTCTTTGTTTGCAACAGCCATTGGGAAGTGATTATGCGAACGTGTGGAGTATATGATATAGAGACACGGAGAGGAAGTGGTGTGACCTTGCTCTTATTCTTGTAAGAGTCCCCACAAATAGGAGCCACCAGCCTCACGCTGCAGAGGGAGGAACTGAGGCACAGGAGGTTTAAGTGACTTGCTCCTGGTGGCATGCACAATCCCAGGCCCAGGCCCAGGTCTTTGAAGGGAAGCCCTAACCGTGCAGGAGGAATCCTTTATCTGTATTTCAGTGCCTAGCCCTCCCCTTGGCCCAGGCCCCAGGCTAGGAGCAGAGCTATCACGGAGCAAGATGGCAGTCAGAATCCAGCACCTCCAGTCAGGAAGGGGACCACATAGTAGGGACTGGAGACAGAAAGTCACACTCCCAGAAGGAATTGCTGTTGTTTACCTAACTGTACTTTATCTACTAAGCCTGGTCTACAACGAGGGTACAGAAGGGACCCTGTGAGTCACAGAACCAGGACTGAACAAGAGTCCCTCTGGAATGCAGTCTGCAACCAGCCTGAGGATGCCCAGGAACGAACATGCTCATCTCTACCTTCCTCTGAGACTCCTCTGAGAAGGTCCCACTTCACCCATGTCCTTTCATGCTCAATGTCAAAATAAAAGCAGAGGACCCACAAAATGAGCTTAAAAAGAACAACAGGTTGGGACAGACTTCCCTTTACACTGAGATTTTTAAAAAATGCTAAGACTATCAAATGTTGAGGATTGAAAGGAACATTAGTGGTCTGGAGAGCAAGAGCATGGTGGCCTCGTTGGCTGTCTGGGGGATGCTGATGGAGAGGCCTCTGGTCAGGAGAGGCAAGTCCCTGCCTGTGACAGCCAACAGATGACATAACCCTGAAGGCCTGGCACCACCCACCCTGGAGTCCTTTCTTCCAAGAAAACCCCAGTGTCTTTCAACAAAGGGAGCATGTCCCCTGGGGACCATAGCCCTATATCGACCTGCCTGGGCCAGGCCACTCCTCTAACATCATAAGTGGAAACTGGAAATAAGACTTTCTCACGGGTGTGGCCACAGCTCTTCAGGAGATGGGAATGAAGTTAGGTTATCTGCCTCTGAGAAGACCTGAGGCTAGGGAGGCCTAGGGCGGCTCTTTGGGGCAACTGGGCAAACCCATGTTGAGTAACTCAGTGCACGGGAGGAGGGCATTAGACAATGAGCACATGTCTCCTCTGTTCCTCCCAGCCGATGCCCACCAAGGGTTCTTTCAAGATGGCTCAAAAAACAAGGTATAGTGGGACTGGAGATGTAGCTCAGTTGATAGAAGGCTTGCTAGCATACACAAAGCCCTAGGTTCGATACCCAGCACCATATAAACTGGTGTAGTGGCACACGCCTATAATCTCAACACTGGGAAAGTGGAGGCAGGAAGAGAAGAAGTTTAAGGTCACCGTAGCTACAGAGCAAAGACCTGGGAGGGGAGCTAGGAAACAGGGGGAGGAAGGGGCTCGGGACATGGCAGTTTGTGTGTAAACAAGTGACATCTTGGCACTCCTCGGCAGACAGTAGGGCCCGGGGACATGTTTTCAACAGGTAGCCCCTTAGCAGCAGTGCCCGCTGGGTAGAGCTACTTCAAATCTTAGGCAAGAAAACTCCCCCAGAAGAAGGGAAATCTTCGGGGCCCTCCAAACACCGAGGCTCCGCTCCGAGAGGGGCAGGGCTCTCCTCAGGTCACACAGTGGGTCAGTGGGAGAGTGGGGTAGGGGCCCCAGGGTCTGGTTCCCAGGCTGGTCCCAGGCCAGGTGGGGACATGCAGGCGGTGGTGAGAACTGGTGGGGCCAGGCGGGGCGGGCGGGCCGGTGTCACACAGCTGTGAGAGAGGCGCTGCTGAGGACATGCACGGCCACCGTGCCCGGTAAGTCACTGGGCTGTCGCCTGCTGCGGTCCTGGAGGTGGAGCGTGTGGAGGGCCTGCAGGTCGTCCGGGTCGGTCTTCAGGCACACCTGGCCCAGGAATTCATCCTTCAGGACTCGGTGATTCCAAATCTGAGAGGAGACAGTGGGGGTGTGTCCAAGACCAGGAATATAGCCTCTGGCAGGTGGGGAGTGAGGGCAGGGCCTGGGAGCCTCTTCCCTCAATACCAGCCCAGCCAGGAGAAAGCCCGCGTCCTGGGGGATGCCCTCTTCCAGACCCTCGGGCTCCTGTCAAAGCTCCCTACCACGTAGAAATGCCAATCTCTCACTACTAGCTCTGGTAAACTTGAACTGGGGGGTAAATTTGGACTTGACCTAGCTCTGCCCCCAGCCCCTTTTTCTTTTGTTTCTGAGACAGGTTTCCCTGTGTAGTCCTGGCTAGCCTGGAACTACAGGCTATGCAGGTATGCAGATCAGGCTGGCTTTGAACTCACAGAGTTCTGTGGGCCTCTGTCTCCTAAGTGCTGAGATTAAAGATGTGGACCACTTCACTCAACAGCTCATTTTTAATATTCAGGTTGAATCACCTGCCCCTACGG